AAAAAAGGGGAGGGACTCTTGGTATATTCGGAATTAATGACCCATTTCTTTGATTAATATCGATGCCAAGATACGTTCTAAATGTTTAGCAAATCGTTTAAAAGAATTATTGTCTTTATTAATCGATAGTCAACAAGGTGCCTTTGTTAAGGATAGAGACAATACACAGATGAAAATACTCTGCCTGGCATACTATTAACTATAGATTTTGAAAAGGCCCTTGGCTGTGTTGAATGGGATTATTTGATAAAATGTCTAAGTACATATAATTTTGGCACAAACTTTCAAAAATGGATTACTACTTTCTAGACAGATTTGAATAGTTGTGTAATGACCAATGGATATAGCACTGGATACTTCCCTGTTACCAGAGGTGTAAGGTAGGGTGACCCCCATGTCCCCATATCTTTTTATTCTGGCACTTGAGATTTTTTTAATTAATATGAACAGCAACTAAAGCATAACAATAATTAAAATTGATACAATTGAGCTTAAGTATGCAGCTTTTGCTGATGATCATTCTTGCTTTGTTAGTAATGAACAATCTGCTAAGTATGTGCTTGCCATGTTGGGAGATTTTCACTTAGTGTCTGGCTTGCAAATAAATGAAGAGAAAACCAAAGCATTATGGCTTGGGAAGTGGATTAAAACGCAAAAAAGAAACCGTTTCGAATAAAATGACCACAGCAACCTATTAAAATTACAATTACTTTGCAAACCCTCCTAAACAAATTCAAAACAACCTTAAACTATGGAAAAATAGATCTTTAACACTGATTGGGAAAATTGTAATTTTGAAAACATGTTTTCTCTCACAAATAAATTACGTACTCCGAATGTTTAATACTACTAATTATATTCTCCACAAGGTTGAACAAATTATTTTTGACTTTCTCTGGAAGGGGAGAGACAGGATTGCCCGGAAAGTAATGGTCAGAGAAGTCTCTGAAGGTGGTCTGAATGCCCCAGACTGATTGGGAAAATTGTAATTTTGAAAACATGTGTTCTCTCACAAATAAATTACGTACTCCGAATGTTTAATACTACTAATTATATTCTCCACAAGGTTGAACAAATTATTTTTGACTTTCTCTGGAAGGGGAGAGACAGGATTGCCCGGAAAGTAATGGTCAGAGAAGTCTCTGAAGGTGGTCTGAATGCCCCAGACTGATTGGGAAAATTGTAATTTTGAAAACATGTGTTCTCTCACAAATAAATTACGTACTCCGAATGTTTAATACTACTAATTATATTCTCCACAAGGTTGAACAAATTATTTTTGACTTTCTCTGGAAGGGGAGAGACAGGATTGCCCGGAAAGTAATGGTCAGAAAAGTCTCTGAAGGTGGTCTGAATGCCCCCAGACATTAAACTAACTCACAAATTGATGAGAATAAATTTCATTAAAAGATATTTAAATGACGATATTATTCCTCCCTGGAAGATATTCTTCGACCGTCGCTTTTCAAATTTTGGTGACAAATACCTAACTAAATGTAATTTTGCTGTTGAGAAACTCATGCATGTAATTTCTAAGTTTTATAAAGAAGCATTGGAAGCATGGTCTTATTCAAATCACCCCAATGAAGAAGACTACTCTGCCTGGAACACCAGACAAATTATCTGGAATAATCAAAACATTCTTTTGGGAAACAAATCAATTTACTACCCAACGTTGAGAAATAAAGGTTTTGAATACGTTTCATAATTGTATAACAATAACACCAGGTTTTTTTTTGGAATGACTTACGGTCAAAACAACGAAATACTCATACTTCATGGAATAATTTTGTCTCTTCCCAAAACACTTGATGAAATTGACTATATTGATACTCCAGAGGATCTGAACCACAAGTATTACTTTGATTATATAACTTCATTGATATTGAAAAACTTTCAAATAATTTGAGTTAGTAGGGTTATCGAAGGTGACAATCCCATTAAACCAGTCGGTGAACAATACTATGAAAGGGAATTCAACTTTACAGCATTTTGGAATTTAACTTACAAACTGCCCCTTGAAGTGTCAATTGACACACCAACTCGGGTTTTTCAATTTAAGCTACTACATAAGATATACAAACTATGACCTGGCCAAGAGAAATATAGATGTCTCTCCATTATGTACATTTTGTAATGAACAAAATGAAACAATTGAGCATGTTCTTTATTCTCGTAGACTCACTGAGACTTTCTGGAATGAATTTTACAATTGCAAGCCTTACTGTTATCCCAAAAACCTTCCTTGAAAGATGTTATATTTGGAAATATTTCTTACTCAATGATTTATAACCATCTACTGTTAATTGCTAAACGTCACATATATTCAACAAAGATGAAGAAAGACAAACCCTATTTTCCACTTTTTAAATTTTGGGCCAAGTCAAACTATCATCTTGAGTATGAGATAGCAAATGAACAAGACAAACTAGAGGTGCATTGTGGGAAATAGATTACTATACTAGAAATAATTAATGAATGAATGTATTCAACTGTGTAATGTAATCTTTATGATTCAATGTTGCCAATAAAATATAAAAAAAAACTGTATGCAAAACTTTAAACATCATCATTTTATGCATGTTCGAACAGTATGGGAAAGAAAGAATTGTGACTAAATAACAGGAATTACGTATTACCTGCATGCTGCGATGACACCGCATGAAACTGAAAGTTTACGCCGTAAAGATATAGTTATAAAGGTAATATGCTATTAAACAACATCAGCGGACGTAACTGCATGCAGCCAACATCTCAATCCACGTATAGTTAACGAACATAGTCGTTTCAACAATTGAAGTTTCCCATGTGATAGGTTGGTTAACACTAAATATATATTTTTTTCTCATGTTAGTGACATCAATCCTAATTCATAGTGTCACTTGTTTCAATCAAATTTCAAACAAGTGACATTGGGTAATAACCCCATAGTATGAAAAACACGTCGTGTAAATTGAAGATGACAGGAATAAACAGTTTTAAATTGGTATTTTGTTTTTGTATTACTGACAAGAATGTAGATACCAGATTACAGAATACCGTTACTGAGAATCGAGCATTATTCCCATCTAACAATGCCACAATGTGCATGTATATTTTGAAACGCTTGTGAGTGAGTAATATTTCATTGGGAGTAGGCTTGCGAAAAATATTTACTGACCTGTTTGATCTGGTCTCTCACAGGCACCCTATTCCAATGAAGTCACACGCACAATATGACACATAATATATTACATATAAAGTAGATAAAGTCGCATACACGGGTGTCAAACCACTGAGCATTAATCTTTAGTAGCGCTGATTTCCATGAACAATAGCATTAAATATGAAAGGGTTGCGACATAGAAAATAAATATTATAACATGAAACACAGGATTCTAACTTCCGATGTCGTCAACAGCATCGACACTGCACGCAGACGCGCCACACTCACTGCGTCAAAACACGCAGTTGAAAATAACGGACAATGAACTCCACAGCGACTGAGTGTCAATGCACAAGTCGAATCACGGACGTTAAAAACGACGTATATAGGTATGTAGTCAAGGTATAAAATTACAGATATAAAAAGAATACTACATAATCCCCCCAAAAATAATCCTAAATAAATCTTCTTCAGTTCGGTAGTCATAAAAAGACT